CTCATGTGGTTGGGTGTTGTTAACGCAATCGTTTCTGAAAAGTGAGATTTAAAGGTGCACCAGTGAGCACTCATAGAAATTAAAATAGTAATTGACTTTCCAGGAGCGTTTGTAGAAGAAAAGTGATTGTAAGTGTTATTGCACATATCCAGTGAGTGAACAGAAATGGCAGTATGTTCCTTTGTGACAAAGCTAATCAACACATCTCGAATTTTGGATTCTGAGTAACCAATTGCAAAATGATTGAATTTTTTGAAACACATAAAATAATTTTGATCTGAGAAAATGACAATCTGTTCACTGACATTTTGCAAATAGGAAAAAAAGGAAAATGTTATTAGATAAATGATTCATCATTAATTAGTTGTTCAACTCTGCTGTCAGTTGTTATATTGGAATTGTGTCTATTGACTGCCAAAACATGGGGCTGTTTCTGCCATCTGCTCTGATCACTCCAGGAACACATTTCTGTGTTTCCAATATTGCAGCCCTAAATCAGGATGAAGAGAGGGGAGAGGTGGTACTCTACAAAGTTCCACCCACAAAATAAACTCTTATGTGAGTCACCAAAATCAGATACTGCTGATTAGGCTGTGTAGATGGTCAAAATGGACTGGGTTCCTTGATCTTGCCTTCCTCAGATGGAGCTTCAATATGTCGATGGGCTCTGCTAGGCTCTTTCAGCTTTGTTTTTTCTTAGTGAGAAGGGAGGAATTGGTGCTATTGCCTAAATTTATCCATTGAGATGGCACTCTCCAGTAAATAGTACAGATCTGTGAGCTTCCCTCTCTGTTTCCACATAAGAAATTAAATATTTAACCATGTTCACATGGAATATTTAGCCTGTGGCCTTTGAGTTAAATCTGAATTAAGATAATTAAAGTTAAAAGATGACAAATGATGAGCTTTCGTGGGCACAGCCCACTTTTCAGATGACTGAAGTTTTGACTCAACTCCAGTCATCTGAAGAAGTGGGCTATGCCCACAAAAGCTCATGATACCATCTGCATGTTTTGTTAGTCTATGAAGTGCTACCAGGCTATTTCTTGTCTTTTAAGTTTATCCTGTACAGACTAACTCAGCTACCCCCTGAAGCTTAAGATAATTAAGTCAGTTCACATGTCTCTGAGTGATTATTCCAGACTTTTTGCAGATTCTCATACATACTTGTCTCTTTATTACATTCATGTCCACACTACAAAATTAAATAGATCTTAGGCCACCTCTAGACTTACCATGCTGAAGAGTGATCTGCTGGCATTCAGTTTAGTGAATCTAATAAGGACCCACTAATTCGAACAGTGAGGGCACCCCTGTTGATGCCAGTACTCCTCAATTTATGAGGGGTAAGGGAAGTCAATGGGAACATTTGCTCCTATCAACCTCTGAGGACATGGCACCAAGCTTGGCTTAAGGTACATCGAGTCCAGCTACGTTATGTATGTTTAGATGCCATTTTTCCTTTCAGGCAGAATCTGTACTTGCATTTTAATACGGTATTATACAAAGTATGTACGCTGCATGTGCCTCTTTTGTAACAGATAGGAATACAATGTCTTAAGATCTCAGCTTCCTTTTGGCTTTCCCTGGGCTCTGTCATACTTGGGTTTTAAACTCTATCTGCTCTTACTGTCCTCAAGCTTTTATTTAACCAATCTTTTTCTCTTGAAGTAAGGGTTTTACCTGAGGGGGAGGTGGAAACCCAGCTGCAGAAGCATTCTCTTTTATCTGGGCTTTAAAATAAAGCCCAGAAACCAAGGTCTCACGTCTCTAGTCAGGCACTTTGCTGCTTGCCCCCTTTCTCTATTTTTCTCCTTCCTCTTTCCTAATTGTGCATCTCTCCTCTCTGCATTTCTTCCCCTGAAACAACTCCCAATCCTGTCTCCTGGGGCTTTGTTCCCACTAACTGTTCCATCCCCTAAAATGATCAGCAATGAAATGCAAACCTTTATATGTCATCCTTAGACTTTAAGACATGTTTAGGGGATGTAGTCCTTTCAGAGCCAGGAAGTAGGAGGTTGGGAGCGAATTAGGCTCCAGGAGCTCCAGTATAGATTGTGGTCATATCTGTGGGATGAACCATTTGAGGCCAAAACAACTGAGAACCAGCTGTACCATCTTCCCAAGTTAGATCCCAAAAGAGAGGCACCCAAAGAAAGGTTATGTGGACTCCCAATGAGGGCATGGTACCCTAGTAGGGATAAGTCATTTGGTGGGTCCTCTGAGGGCACTGGCAATCTGCATCAGAACCCTAGTATAAGAAGACACTGAATTCTTCTCAATTTAGCAAAGCAAGGACTGACTGCACTTTTGTCTCTGTGTTTAATGCAATCCCAGCCTTTTTTTCCCCCATAGATCATGTCTCTTCATGTCCTTTCTTAAATGGTGGTGTCAGTGCAAACCTGCTTTTAAAAACTCTCTTCAAATGTTGCCTAAGCAGCCCTTGGAATCGTGACTGGCTTCTGATTGCTTATTAGTAGTGCATGAAAATTCTACAGGCTCATTTACATGTGCGTTTTCTCACAATATTTAGAATAAGATGATGCACACAATTTGTCACCTGACAGCAAGGTTTCCTCTAAGGTGCACACCTGCATGGGCACACACCAAGAATTTGAGTCCCACCCACCTCCTCAGCAGGGCCACACAGTGGCTGCTCAGCTGCTCTAGGTGAGGTCTTGAGTGGGGTGGCTGCCCCACTCCAGGAGCAGCTGGGCAGCCACCATGCAGCCCTGGCCCTAGCCACAGCCCATCCCGGGGGGTCGGGGATGAAACTGACAGGTGGGGAGCAGCCATGACTGCTCCCGTGGTCAGGGCCTGAGGCACTGCATGGAGAACGGTGGCAGTTG